AAAAAAAAAAAAAAAAAAAAAAAAAAAAAAAAAAAAAAAAAAAAAAAATCACTATTACACATCAATAACAGTTCTGATCGCTCACTGCTCGGACCGTATCGACGGCGTTGGGGGCGTGGGGCACCGGCGACACGCAGATGAGCCGCTCTCATATGTAGATAGCCTCGGAGCCCTTGTTGCTTTGGTGTCCTGTCGCGACGCCGACCGAGCCGTACGCGTGGGGCGAGGCCATGCACTCGGACCAGTCGCTGTTCGAGTGGGGCGAGCTCGAGGACCAGTGACCCGGACTGTCCGGCGAGGGCGTGGGAAAGCTCTCCGGCGCTTGCATGATGTGCTGGGGGGTCACATCCGGGCCCGAATGGTGCGACGGCGGCGTCAAGTACTGATAGTACTGCTGCTGTTGTTGTTGCTGCTGTTGCTGCTGTTGCTGCTGCTGCTGTTGCTGCTGCTGTTGTTGGTGTTGCTGCTGAAACTGTTGCTGCTGCTGCTGGGTGGGCTGCATCGGCTGTTGCTGCTGCTGCGATTGCTGGGTGTAGGGTAGGTTGTCAAAGTCAAACCCCACGGGCGGCATGCCGCCGTGTTTTTGGTGCGTCGCTTGGCGCATCGCGGCTATGTGGGTGGGCGAGGTGGGCAGGGATGGCCGGTTCTTGGCCGGCGAGGGCGAACCCATGCCATAGCTCGCTTGCGGCGACAGCGTTATGTTCGACTGAACCGAGTGAGGTGGCGACTGGTTGCTGTAAGGCGGCGACAGCGTGTTCACCACCATTCCCCCGTTGCTCGTCGGTTGACGTTGCTGCGTTTGCGAATGCTGCGCGGCCAGCAGCTGGTCGTGAAAATTCGGCAGCCCGTAGCTCGTGAAACTGTCCAAATGGTTCAGCTGCTGCAAACTGCTCGAAGGAAAAAAGTATTATTTAAAAGAAAACAACAATTTCTCGGTGTCATTTACAATTTACCGGTGTCCTTGGAAGAATACAATTTTGCAAACAACAACACATACCTGCTTTGCTGTTGCATGGTCTGGCTTTTGATACAATCCTCGTAGGGGGGTGGCTGTTTGGCCGCCTGCGCGGCTTGTACCGCGGCTACCGCCGCTGCTTGGGCCGCTGCCTGGGCTGCCTGGACAACCGAGGTCTGAGTGTGAGTAGCTCCCGTGGCGACGAGGGGAGGCAGAGCGTTGCTAAACAGACTCGCGCTGTCATAGGGACTGGGCAGATTGCCTTCCGCGCCCTCGGCACCCTGCGGCAGCTCCTGGTTGGGGTTCGGCTGAGCGGCGCGCTTCGCTGGCTGCTGCTTCTTGACCGAGGGCTTTCGGCGCGCCGCGGACGCGACCACGCCGTTGACACTGATGCCCCCGTTTTCCGACTCCGGACTGTTGGGATTGCCCGAGCCCGGTTTCGCACGCTTCTTCGACTTGCTCTGCTTCGGCGCGTTCCCGATGACCGTCGGATGCGATATGAGTTGTGGATGGTTTGGCGAGCCTGTTGTAAAACAAAGTTGGAATTCATTGGTCAGCAGATACACAAGCAGGTACCAACTATCGGTACGCTGAGCAATACAAGATGATGATTGTAAGAATAATAATAATAATAATAATAATAATAATGAGGTATACTAAAACTCGAAGACTCACAGGCAAACTTACCCATGAGCGGGCCGTTGGGCATGACGGTCACCATTTGCGGTGACCTCGGCACGTGCTCGTCCAGTAGCCTGACGATGTCGTGGTGCAACCGCTCGCCAGCCACGTCTCTTGGCAATCTGTCCATGTGATCCGTGATCTCCCGGTTGGCAAAGGTATCGAGGAGCGCCTTGCACGCCTCGAAGCTACCCTCGCGCGCTGCCAGGAACAACGGGGTCTCGTCCTTGTCGTCCTGCGCGTCTCTGTTGGCTCCGTGAACCAGCAGTATGTTCACCGCGTCGACGTTGTTCACGGCCGCGGCCCAATGTAAGGCCGTCTTGCCGCTGTTGTCGGCCGCGTTTATATCAGCGTCCGCGTTGATAAGATCCTCGACCATGCCCTCGGTGGCGAGACGCGCGGCGAGGATGAGCGGCGTTGTGCCGTCGTGCATGCGAGCGTTCAGGTTGGTGGCGCGGTTGCGCAACAGGATCTGGAAGACGCCCATTGCGTCCGCGGCGACGGCCGAGTGCAGGGGCGTGCGGCCCGTGTTGTCCTGCGAATTTGCGTCCGCGCCTGCGTCGAGCAACCTCTTGGCGGCATCCGCCCGGGCGTACCTGTTGCACAAATTGTTAGATAATATTGTTAGATTCGTTAATAGTGCGATTGAGCGTGTTTATGGGTAAATGAATGCATTAGTACCTGGCGGCGAGATGCAGCGATGTTTCACCGCTCTTGTCAGTGGTTGCGTTGAGATCAGCACCCTGGGCTACGAGGTCCGCGATAACGGCAGCCGTGCCGTCGCCCTCGTCCTCCTCTTCGCCCGTGTCGAGGCCGCAACCTCCAACCGCGACCATGAGGGGCGTCATACCGCATGGTCCCCTCGCATCCACGTCCTGGCCGTGCTCCAGACTCGGAGGAGTGAGCACACCTGCGTCGGGCCTGTGAACTTCAGCGGCGTCGAGGTGCTGCTGCGTCCACATGCGTGGCTCGGCTTCCTCGTAGTCGGTCACGAGGGTGTGGTCGCTCGCGTAGCCGGGCTCGATGGCGCGCATACGCTTCGAGGGTGGCAGATCCGACTCGTCGTCGGACCACTGGGGCGCCGCGCGCCCGTTGCCCATGTCCATGCAGTTGACACCGGGCGGCTGCTTGTTGAGGTTGCGCATCTCCTGACCGTCGGGTCCACGGCGCCGGGAGCGCCTCCTCTGGACGTTACTGCTCGAGGTGCGGATGAAGCCGTCCGGGAACCAGGTCGTTATCTTGCCGGGATGGCGCCTCTGGGCCGTGACGAGGATGCCAAAGAGGGCGGCAACGAGGACGACGAGCATGGCGCCGAACAGCACGTACTTGAAGTTGGTCGAAGTATCCGGATAGTCGACGTTCGGCCCGATCACGCTCTCGACCTTCTCGATGGGGAAGTTGCGCGAGAGCGTGTGCTTGGACGCGGTGGCGGCGAGGTACTCGGCAGCTTCGGTCGCCGACGGGAAGCAGACCTTGTGTTTGCTGTTCGAGCACTTGCGGTTGTCGATCTCGAGGTAAGCCACGACCCCCGTCGACTTGTCACCGTGCGTGTCCAGGGATATGCCCTTTATGTCGTAGGTCGGCATGCCACCCAGGTCATCCTCGTCGGGATCACGGCGCCAGGGGTATATCATGGCCTGACCAAAGTCGTCTTGCTTGACTTTTAAGGTAGTGCGCAGCTCGTGGCCAATGTCGCGCAGGAAGCCGATGATGTTCTTCCGGAACTGTTGGATGTCCATGCGCACGACCACCGAGAGCATACCCTCGGCCGGCGACGGTGGAATCGTGTCGTCGCAATCGAGACCATCCCAGTTGCACTCCTCGTTGTTACAGCCGTAGTCGCAATGACCGTCGGCGTAGTGCTTGCGACAGTAGGCATCGTAAAATGGACTGTAAAAAGCGAGAATGCAACGATTAATGAAATATATACATATATATATATATATGTATCCCAGGCAAATAACGACAATTGTGCGTACGAAAATACAAACGAGAGGCAAACACTTACTTGCAAGGCTTGAGCCTGTTCTCGCAGTCCCTGCCGTCAAACAGGCACTGGGCGTTGTTGCACTCCTCGTTGCAGACGCCGTTCATAAAGACGTCCCAGCAGTTGATGGACGCCGTGCAGTTTCTCCACGGATTGATGCCGAGGGAGCAATCGTTGCCGTCGAAATAGCACGCGTAGCGGTTGCATTCCTCGTCGCACCTGTGGTTGCCCGATTTCTCATCGCAACGGTTCAGCACGCACTTTTTGCGCTCCCGCTCGAGATCGAGCTCGAAAGCGTTGCTCGGCATCGATGGCTTCTTGCGCCCGTACAGGCCACCCCTGGACTCGGGATCGAAGAGCTCGCAATTCTTGCCGGTCCACTTGGGCGGGCAATAACACGCGTAGTCACCCACCAGGTTCTCGCAGATGGCTTCGGGCTGCTGGCACGGATTGCTCAGGCACTCGTCCTTCGTGTCGATCTCGCAATGGGTACCGGCTGTCCCGGGCAAACAGTGGCAGCGATAGCCGACGCTCGTATCAGTGTCACGACACGTGCCCCCGTTGCGACAGGGCTCGGTTTCGCAGTACGAGCCGGAGAACTCGCAGTTGTGGCCGTAGTAGTCGTTCGGGCAGACGCAGGTGTGCCCGGCCTTCTGGGCCGTGCAGACTCCGCCGTTCTGACAGGGCGAGCTGTCGCAAAAGTTGACCTCGACCTCGCAGTGCCGGCCCATGTAGCCGGGCTTGCAGTTGCAGTGGTAGTTGTTGACCAGCTGGACGCAGTCCTGGGTGCCGGGGGCCGAGCACGGGTTAGACAGGCACTCGTTGATGTCGCCCTCGCAGCGCGGGCCCACGAAACCCGGGGGACACTTGCACTCGAAGCCCCCGACCTTGTCGACGCAGGTGCCATTGTTGTGGCAAGCGTCGAGCACGCAGTCGTCGATGTTTATCTCGCAGAGATAGCCAAGGGTGCCGAACGGACACGAACAGCTGAAGTTGTTGATCAAGTCGTGGCAGATGCCGCCGTTCTGGCAGGGCGATACGGGCACGGGACTGCCAGCGTTGAGGCTACAGTCGTCGATGTTGAGCTCGCAATTCTGACCCTGGAAGCCCTTGGCGCAGTCGCACCTGTACGAGCCCACGAGATCGCGACACGTGGCCCCGTTCTGACAGGGCGCCGAGTCGCACTCGTTGATCTCGGTCTGGCAGTAGCTGCCCGTGTAGCCCTCGTTGCAGAGACACGTGTGGCTGTTGCCGATGTCCTTGCAGGTGCCGTTGTTGCACAGCCTACGCTCGGGGGCGGCCTTGCGCAGAGCGGCGTCCTTGCACGAGACCATCTCGACGTCGCATACCTTGCCCGTCCAGCCGGGCGAGCACTTGCACTCGTACTTGTTTCTCTGCTGGACGCAGGTCGCTTGGTTCTCGCAGGGCGACTCGGCGCACCAGTCGACGTAGCTCTCGCAGCGCTCGCCCGTGTAGCCGTACATGCAGTGGCACGTGTAATATTGCACGTGGTCGTGGCAGGTGGCACCATTTTGGCAGGGATTACTGTCGCACTCGTTGATGCGGTACTGGCAGTTCGAGCCCGTGTAGCCGGGCCGACAGACGCAGGTGTAGTTGTTGATGCCGTCGATGCAGGTGCCGCCGTTCATGCACGAGGACTCGGTGCAATCCTCGTCGTTCGTCTGGCAATTGATCCCCGAGAAGCCGAGCTTGCACTGGCAGGTGTACGAGTTGACGTACTCCTTGCAAACGGCGCCGTTCTGACACGGGGACGAGGTGCACTCGTCAATGTCGACCTCGCAATGCTTGCCATTGAAACCATCGACGCACAGACAGGTGTAATCACCAATACCGTCGAGGCAGGTACCACCATTCTGACAAGGATCTGAAAAAAACCAAGAAAAAAAAATTTGTTTTATCACCATTGCCATTATATACCCACATTATTATAATCACAACGAAGGTAAATATTAAACTTACACGAGGCGCAGTCGTCGGTGTTGATGATGCAATCGCGTCCCTCGTAACCCTTGGCGCACACGCAGTGGTACGAGCCATTGGTGTTGCGACAGGTAGCTCCGTTCCTACAAGGCGACGTGATGACGCACTCGTCCACGTCCTCGTCGCAAAGCCGTCCCGTGTAGCCTACGGTGCACGTGCACACAAAGTCCAAAAAATTCGATGACGGCGAACACTTGGCTCCGTGAAGACACCTACGTGACCATTTTTGTCATTAGCCATCGTGCTCTGTTGAAGCAATGATTAAAAGAAAGAAAGAAAGAAAGAAAAGAAAAACTCACTTGTTGGGCGAGCAGGGGTCAAGCTTGTTCTCGCAATTCCTGCCCGTGTGGGGCAGCTCGCAGACGCACTTGTAATCGTTGACGAGGTCGATGCACGAGCCACCGTTCTGACACGGACTGATGGCGCAGTCGTCGACGTTGGTCTCGCAATTGACGCCCGCGTAGCCGGGCAAGCACTGGCACGCGTACCCGTCGAGCCTGTCCTTGCAAATGCCCCCGTGTTGGCACGGGTTCGAGCCGCACTCGTCAATGTCGGCCTCGCAACGCTTGCCCCCGTAACCGGGCAGACAATGGCAGATGAACTGATTGACCCCGTCCTCGCAGGTGCCCCCGTTGACGCACGGGTTCGAACTACACTCGTCCACGTCGCTCAGGCACCTCGCGTCGTAGTAACCCCGGGGGCACTCGCACCTAAAGCCGTTGATAAGGTCGACGCAGCGGCCCCCGTTGGCGCACGGGTTTGAGGCGCACTCGTTGATGTCCGTCTCGCAGTGCTGGCCCGTAAAGCCCGGCTCGCACTCGCACGAGTAACGATTGATCCCGTCGATGCACCGGGCCCCGTTGCGACACGGATTGCTGTAGCACTCGTTGACGTTGATCTCGCAATTGTTGCCCGAGGTGCCCGGCCGGCATATGCACTGGTAACCGTTGATCCGGTCCTCGCACCGGCCACCGAACAAACACGGACTGCTCTCGCACTCGTCAATCTGCGTTTGGCACAGGTTGCCCGTGAAGCCGGGGAAACAGCTGCAACTGAAGGAGTTCTCGCCGTCGATGCACGTGCCGCTGTGGCACGGGTTGGATTGGCAATCGTTGATGTTGGTCTCGCAGGAGGCGCCGTTGAAGCCGGCCGGGCACTCGCACGTGTACTTGGCGATGGAGTCGTGGCAGGTGCCGCCATTGCGGCAGGGTGAGCTCGCGCAATCGTCGATGTTTATCTGGCAGTGGACGCCCGCGAAGCCGTCCGCGCACTTGCACTTGAAACCGTTGATCAGGTCCGTGCAGATGCCCCCGTTCAGGCACGGCTTCGACGCGCACTCGTCAATGTTTATCTCGCACTGCGTACCCGTGAAACCTGCAAATCATCATCATCATCATTTTCATTTTTACTTTTCTATTCACCCATGAGTCGCAACCAAGGTCTGATGCATGACTGTTTGTTTTTCCAATCGCAACAGTACATATTTACCGGCGACCGAGGTTTTTCGGAATCGGCCGACCTAACCGTTAATCGGCAACGCAACAATTACCGCTAATTAGCAAAAAAGAAAGAGACAAATACCGCTCCCTCGTACATGCATGTGTATATAAACACTCGGAGGGGGGTCAAGCTAATTGCTCCGGGTCGCGATCCTTTGCGCCGTACGAGTACACCTATACCTATACCAGGAAAAGAGGAAAATATAGTCTTTCCATTCGGTCATCGCTAGAGTACGTGGTATTCGTTTAGCGGGTAAATATTATATAATATTCGAATATCCTACGTTTCTCACGTGGAAACCAATGGTAAAAAAAGGCACTTGAAACGCACACTGCTGGAATCGAATGATGATGATCCCTTGTTGTTGTTTTTTTCCACCCCTCGTCCCAAAAATCGATCTCCTCCGTTGAGAGTATATATACGGAGGAATGGCCGGTTCGAGAGATCGGCACGCACACTTGATACACGCGACGGAGAGCGGAAACGCCGCGGATGACGGAGACTGGTTTTTGGCTGCGCTACGCATGGGAACGCTGACGGGGGCCGCCCGTCTTCTTTTTCAAGGCACGCAAAACGGTACACGAGTCGTGTGGGTTTTTTTTTTTTTTTTTTTTTTTTTTCATCATCTAAAGGATTCAATAAAATCCTTCTCTGGGCGGACCTCTCAAAACCTGATGCTTAGGCACTTTTGCGCCACTAATCGGTAATCGGCGCTGTATAGGTAGACGCGTTCACATGCATATATTATACGGTATCACCTGATTCGCGCAAATTTCACGGGCACGCATAAGTAGGTACACATACATATATAAACGTGGATGTGTGTAATAAAGCCCACTGACGGCACGGTGTACACGCAAGAGGAGGATATTTATATATATATACTTGTACACGGGGCCCTGCAAATCTTCACGGCTTTTCTGCGGTGAACTAACCGGACGCGAGCGATTTCCATAATTATCGTGTATATACGTATACATGTGTGTGTGTGTGTGTGTGTACCAAGGGGGCAAATCTCTCTGTCTCTCTTTTTTTCGTTCTCTGTACATCCTCCTATGTTGCTCCTCGTTACATTACCTCACGCATACACCCACAAAAAACCGTATTATGCACGTGTGTGCGTTTGCGTGTGTATATATATATATATGAGAGAGCGCGTGCAATTACGCGAAGCCTGTATGTGATGTGTACATATATGTGTATGCCCGTCTATGCAAAGATGATTCGAAAATAATCTTTTTTTCTTCCTCCGGTTGTTGTAGCACTTTTTACATTTTTTTTTTTTTTTCTTCTTTTCTTTTTTTTATTACCGTGCTCTCTCTCTTTGGACTGGCTCATCGCGTGACGCCGATCCCTCGTGTTTGTACAGATTTAGAGAGGCGCGGGTCAGCAACGCCAAGTGTACAACATGAAAGTGACCAATCGAGAGAGAGGAAGATCGGAGAAATTTTGCAAAGTATGCGTTTCAGATTTTTCTGTCCCGCGCGCATCCATCATTAAACTCGTGTATACGTTTGTGCGTGTCTCTGTTTCTTTTTTTCCCTCTGTCTGTCAGTCTCCCTGAGTTTTTTGTGTGCGTATGTACAAAGTCGAACAACCCGATCCTCGACAACTCGGTACCTATATAGTTCTGCATGACAAGATGCATTTGCATCCTATCGCTTTACGGTTTGCCGTGTTTGAGTGCATCGGGTGCATATATGGGCACCGAAAGAAGTTTCTATCTCTTTCTACAATGTAATTTCGCGACGAGCGGATGTGCGTACGTATACACACACATGTACACTATTAGGGGGCGAAATTGGCTGGTTCATGGGTGCAGACGCGATTAGACCTGGCGCGTGCACCAAAGCAAGGTCTTGCAAGGCGAAAAAGCGCTGCAACAACCTGCATCGAGACGAAGGCACTTTTGTCGATGCCTCAAGTGAGAGAGTACCATCTTTTTTTTTTTTTTTTTTTTTTTTTTTTTTTTTTTTTTTTTTTTTTTTTTTTTTTTTTNCGCTGCCTTTTCGATTTTTTTTTTTTTTTTTTTTTTTTTTTTTATCTCCTCGACGTATACCAGAGCATGATGTACCGATCGTGCTGGCAATTACTGTACGGGTATGCGTGTGGTTGGTCGGGGCCGAGCAGAGGAAGCGCAAAATTTCGGACGGGTCATTACACATTATATACTGGTAATGGGGAGCTGCTGTTCTTTCCCAGTGACGTGATTACTTTTCGACCATCGATCGTGCTACATACTCATCCCGAGGAATCGTCGTTCCGACCACGTAGCATGTACCTATACGTGCTTTTGCGACGAAGGTTTTTATTTTTCAAAGATATACTTGTGCCTCGCAACAGTGGCAAGTAAAAATACAAATCGAAAAAAGAAAATAAGCTCGAATAAATCACGGTACGGCTACAAGACGCAAACAGGTAATGTATATATAGGGTACATTTTGAGGATGCAAAACGCGAAAGAAGAGCGAGATTTTCCGCACCTGCACGCCTGCACATCGGAGCGCCCGAAAAGATTAACGAGAACGGAGCGCACACGCAAGGCATATATATATATATATACACACACACACACACACGACGCACCATGAGCCCCCGGGTTCTTTTGAACGCCATCAACTACACGACTCCCACGAGAAAAGGCACGAGGAGTGCATCCTTAATTGCAATCTATTGCATGGTACTTATACTATACTGCTACACACGTGTTGGTGTGCCTGTCTGCACACACATTCGGGTTTCACGCGCGGACCAGCGACACGTGAAAAATCGTCGACTAATGCTCAATTGAATTGACAAAAGAGTCCTGTACCTTTGCTCATTTTCCTTTTTCGTTGTATTGGACACTCGAGGGGGAAAATTAATTCGCTCGAGTTGCCTGATGCATGAGTTTTTTTTTTTTTCCCCTCCCCAAGTTTCCAAGCGAATCGTTTTTGTTAATGGGAGACGATTTGTACGTGCGTACCTTTACGTATAAGCGATGAAACAATGTCGTCGCTCGCGTGATTAGGACTAATGAACGCGATGGGTGGGGTTTTTTTTTTTTTTTTTTTTCTACGCCTAAGCGACCCACGATTTCCATGGATGACGGACTGCGAACGAGGCGGAAAAAAAAAGTAAGATCGTGAAACGCATCCCCTTGGCTTCTTCCGCATCAGAGACTTTTGGTTTGTTATGCAGGCCACGCGTGTAAATTGTGTTCGCGACGCGTGCATAAATGCAGGCGTCCGTCGAGGTGTATAACACGCGTTTCTGAGGTGTCCCGGCGAATGAACCCACCACTGGTACACAAACAACGAAATAAATCGTGTACTCTTCTTTGTTCGCGCTCGGAGTGAACCGCATCGACCATTGGTCGATCGATCGATTACCGATCGGCTGTGACGGGATTTTTTTTAAAAGCCACCCGGCTCCTCGATCCAAATGTACCGAAAATAACAAAACGAGTGCTCGTTGGGACAATCCTCCGGCTTACAACCCTCGATTTACGGTAAAAAATTTACTTACGATTTTTTTTTTGTTGTGTAATCTCTCGGCGCTCCGAAGCTCAAGCTACAAATATCGAATCGCCGCGCGTACGGCGCGAAAGAGATCGGGGGGGGAGTGAGGCTTAAATCCTCTTGATTGGCACTAAGACGAGGGGAAGAGAGAGAGAGAAAGGATGAAAAATCGACGTCGGACCGCTACGGTGGAGTGTTATCCCGCACAGAAAAGGTCTACCGTATATATATGTATGTAGGTACTCGTCGATTCGCGTCGCCGTTAATTCCCCGTGTCTTCATTTTCTCGGGCCGTACACGTGCCCGACGCAGGGTATCTATTAAGTATAAGTTGGTTCGAGTTCTTGACTCCAAAATTTTTTGTCGAAGCCTAACAGTAACCATACAATGAAGGAATACTGTGCGCCCCCCCCCTCCCCCCGTCATTACCCATCAAAACTAGAACGCGCGCTTTATACGTATATAAGTGCAGTGTACCGATATCGAATGAAAAGGTCACGTCTGAGTAGGGGGTGTACACACAAGCGCGTAATTAGGTGTATTAGACACCAACGCACAGCAGAGAAAGCCAAGAGGACTGATGGATCGGCTGGAAAATTCACTCGCTATGGTACAGGGTATATATATGTAAGTATGGGCTTCCCTTCCATATAGTTTGTCAAGAGTATAATGCGGCCGGGGAGGGGGGGAGGAGGGGAACACCAGACGCGGACCAAATAGCTCGGGGTCGAACGGTAAATCGTAATTAAGGGGCACCTTCGGGTGCCATTAATGTCGCCTTCTCGATGATTTTTTCTTTTTTGGCTCCGAGACTTTTTTTTTCTCTTGTACACCTTCTGACGCTCCGTCAAGAGTGTGTACACGTGGATCAAGAGGAATTTGACATTCGACGCGTACGCGTATTAAAATTGCATTAAACACCATCATCATCACCATTAAGATGTAACTGTAAAGTATGTGTGATTACACGAGAGCTTATTAATCGCTTTTTGGCTGAAAATTGTGTAAAATGTTATAGCTGTGAGAAACGTGAAAAATCGGTTGACAATCGGTATATTAACTCAAGGACATATTACATGCTGTACCCGCTGTTTCCCAACTTTTGTCTGATATGTACTTACACGCGTTTCAAAAATATATAATTTTCCTTATCAATGAGGACTAAAAATCCGTAACGATCTCGGAGCTTTCGCACGCAAAGAGCCACCAGGGGCAAATAAAAATGAAGTATCAAATGAGCGCAAAAAAAGCACACGAGAAAGCTCGGATCGAGCGAATGAACGTTAATGCAGTGAAACAATGTTAATCCCATCGTTAATCACCACGTACCACCTGATCTCCCTATATGCTATACGTACACATTTACACACCCGT